CCTGCTGCTCCTGGCAGTAGTTGATGCGCGTCTGCAGCTCCTCGGCCTGCACTTGCATATCCTCCAGCGCCTTCTGCGACACCTGCGAGTTCTCCATGGACTCGGCCGTCTTCGTGCGAACCTGTGTGCCCATTTTGCCGCGCACAGGTCTGTTGCCTCCGCCGGACATGGTGCCCGCCTGCTCGATAATCTCGCCACGCAGCGTGACCACACGGAAGCGTTCACGGCCATAGGCAATGCGCGAGCCCTGCTCCAGATCCGTGGCCACCAGCGTGTTATGCAATGCCATATAAAAGGCGGTCCTAACGCGCTCGTCTTCCACCTGAACCAGATCGTAAAGCCGCGGCACGTTCTCTGGGCTAGATAGGATAACAATTGAGGTTTACAGAATCATTTGCAAAGCGTCCTCCACTTACGTATTTATGCGATGGGATTTACTGCGCCAGTGCTCCATGCGATTGAGGGGTATAAAATTCGCCCGGCCCACATTGTATTGCTTGAGCGCTTTAATCGCCGCCGTGGCCGTATCATACGTATCCGTCACAATATTGTCCAGTCGCCCACAGGCTGTCGAGATGGCTATATCATATTTGGCATCGATGCCGCCCAGATCTCCGAGGCGTCCCAGTATGCCAGGTATTTTGCCCTCCGCCTTCATGCGCATCAGGAAGTCCAGGACTTTATCATTCGAGCGCTGGGCTTGCATATTCGATGAGCGCTCATTGATCTAAGAAAACAAAATATATTTAATTATATATATGGTAATAGAAATCAAATCAGGGTTTCACCTCCTCGCGCAGCTTGCTGCACTGCAGCGCCAAATTGCGCTCCTCATGGCTTAGCTTCTGCACCTCCGCTGACTTGGTGCGAATCTCCTGCTCCAGCTGTGGCATGTTTGTATTTAGCTCCTCCAGCTTGCTGGTCATGGTCTCCAAGCTCTGCTGAGCCGACTCGTAGGAACTCTTTAAGGATTCATATTTGCGCGCCTCAGTGGTCTCCACTTGCTTCAGTATCTTTAGCTTCGACTCGTGCACCTGCACCTCCTCTCGCGCCGTATTGACCGCTTCCTGCAGTCCAATCAGCTCGTCACTGAGCTTGAGACGCTTCTCGGTTAGCGGCTCCGATTGCTCCTTGAGCAACTTCAGCTGCTTTTCTAGCTCCTCGTTGAGCGCCAACTTTTCCTTTTCCAGGCGTTCGAGTTTGTGCTGGCATTCCTCGATCTCCCGCTGGTTCTTCTCCGGCAGCTTGTGCAGCTCTTCGAGCTCCTTTTCATTCTTTTCGATTTGTGCTTTGTCCTTCTTGCGCTGCTTATTCGTGTTCTCCATGGCGCTTTGAACTTCCGTGTAGCTGCGCTCGGCGCCCACCAGCTTCTTCTTGATGTCCTCGCGCTGCTTGACCAACGCCTCATAGGCCCTTCAAATATATGGAAATAAGGAGAAAAGTATATTAATAAACGAATGCTGAAGCTATCCTCACACTTACTCCATTTCCTTGCGTATAATTAACTCCTTCTCAGCGCGCTCCTTCTTGAGTGCCTCGGTGCCTTCGTCGTGGCTCTTTATCTCCTGGCTGCACTCGTCGTGCTCCTTGGTGTACTCTTCCAGCTTCTGCTTCTTGATGCTTATGTACTTCTGGATGACCCAATTCTTGGTGCGCACCAATTCGTTCTCCTTGCGCAAATACTCGACGGCCTCGTTGTAAGGCTGCTCCAGATCCTTCATTTCACGCTCCGACAGCTTACAGCGATTATGTTTCTCCGTACGATCATCCGTTAGCTGATCCACGCGCTGATTGATCTGTTGCAATGGCCGGATATAGCGTTGCGTTCCTATGATATCCTCCAGATATTCCAGCATGCCTGTTTCGTTCTCCGTCTGTCCTTTGGTCTTCATCATGGCTATAGACTCCACCTCGCCCTGGAGTATGAGGAAACGATTGTGCTCGAGATCTACGTGATGCTTCTTCAGCAGCTTAGCCACATCCTTAAGCTGAGCCCGCTGATTGTCAATTTGGTAGTAGGACGAATTATCCGACATAGCTGTGCGTCGCACGAAGAACTGTGAGCCGGGAACCGTTTCGCACTTGCCGTCCGGCTTGTCCACCACCTGCTCGAAATGCACAGCCACCGAGCAGCTGGTCAGATTTGGAAAATTCTTGGAATTGTGAATTAATGTGGATAGTTTCTTGCAGCGAATGCGATTCGCCCGACAGCCGAACACAAACATCATGGAGTCAATGACATTGCTCTTGCCACTGCCGTTCGGCCCGATGATCGCTGTAAAGGAATGATGAAATGGACCCAGCTCCACCTCGCCTGCATAGCTCTTGAAATTGTTGTTTACAATACGTTTGATGATCAGGCGCGGGCCGACGCTCTCCATGGAGCAGTGCGGCGGCACTGGCGGCGGTATATATATGTCACCGATGCGTGTCCCTCCCTCCTCGTCGTCGAAGATCAGGGCATCATCCAAGGCGTCCATAGCAGCGGCATCATCAGCCTCTTGTTGGGCCTTCAGCATTTGCTGTTGGGTTAGGCGTGCGCCGACACTGGTGCGACAGCCGCCGCGCCCCTGTGGCGTACCCAGGCTGGGTCGCATATTAGCAATAAAAATTCTTTACAATTTAACGAGTAACTTATTTAAAATCCTTAACACAGTCCGCAACTCCTGGCGCTAAAATAAAATATGACGCTACGGCAGAGTTGCATGCGCTGCGTAACGCCTCTAACGGCATTTATGACAACTAAAACAAAGTGACTTTTTAGCAAGTTGGCATCACCGTGGAGAAAAAGCCGTTTTTGTGATGCCAATTCAAATGTTCAATTTAAATTAATTCGCAACTTTATTCTAATTGGTGTGGAAATTTAATTGCGTATCAGATTAAATGTAATTGAATTTAACCGATTAAATTAAAAGCATCCGTTTTTACAGTATACTTCAGGCATTCAAGTCTTAACTTAAACACACAGTATTGCAAAAACATTAAATTTGCATTTATAATAAACTTTTAGAGAATGCGATCAATTCATTTATGAATATAAAATTAAATGCGTTTTTTATCCCATTGACAAGTCATTAAATTATTTATTTTCAAACTAAACAAAGTTCTAACATACATATGTTTTCACATGCTAAACTGTCAAACTATTTATTTTGAAAATGATAACATGCCGCAATTTGAAGAAAAAACACTCAAGTGCCAGCCAAAGAGAGCTTTCTCCCGCGGCACGATATATATGGCCGGGTCTGCAGCGCCCAAGTCTTCAGTTTGTTTTAGTATTCAGCTGCTGCAATACGCTGTGCTACAGCTCGGAAGTTAGTTAACGCGCCGGTCGCATTTTCGTAATAAGGAAAGCAAAAGAGAAAGAAAGCAAAAAAAAAAATAGACTAAAAGTTGGCAGAAAATGCTGCTCCGCCGGAGGGAAAATTTAATGAAGCAAACTAGTTTCACAGTCAAGGTCGGCGCGCACACACAAAACCGTTATAAGCGCTGCACATTTACAGCTATGCAAAAATCGTGGGCATTCGTTGTTGTTGTTGCCTTTGCGGCCATCTTCGTGATTATGTTGTCGTCGACGGCGACTGCGGCGAGTGTTATAAGCATCGGTAATTTCTCCCTCCCCCTCTTACTCTCGCTCTCTTTTGCTAAACATCCACAAATTTACTACCTGACTTTTGATTGGGTGCGTCTTGTTGCTGCTGCTGCTGCTGTTGTTGTTGTTGCCTCCTTTTTGTCTTTGGCATGCGCAAGCGTGCGCATTGGGTGTGAAAGTTGTTGATCTGTTTTTTTGTTATATAATATCAACTGGAGGCCTGTCCATTGAACCCCAAATGAAATGACAGTTGCTGAAAATTTTCCTGACCCCACCATTTTAGGCAAAGCTTTGGCAACACATGTATGTACATAAAAAAGTGCTTGAACTGTTACTTTCTAAATGCTGCAGCTGCCACTCTACCCACACATACACACACACGCAAATCGAGATTCCTATACACGCAATCCACACAATATACACATCTCTGTACACATCGTATCAAGAGATCGCATATTGCATATTACAGACACACACACACCACACACATGCACACGTCTATATCGAATCTAGAGATCGCATCTTGCATTTTACACACATGCGTCGCTTGCCCAATCGTTTGAGTTACGATCTGCTCCAGCTATGCCGCCAGGCCAACTGTACATGTGTGTGTGTGTGTGTTGTTGCAAACGCAATTGACTTGCTGCCGCCAAAATTGTTGCGCCGCACAGGGGCGTAGCTTAATTGGCACTAAAAGACCCGCATTGTCATAGGGCAGCTTCAGAAATTCAAAATGTTGCATAGGATTTATTTTGCTAGAAAAATCTAAAATCAATTAAAATAGAATATGAAGTTAATGCTAAGATGATCCTCATAGTCCATATATCTAGTCTAGTCCGCATTAAACATTAATCTGAAAGGAAATCAAATCAACAGATTTTCTTTTTAGAAACTTTGTGCACATATACACATGTAGCAAACCAATACAAACGTTGCATATGTACAATTACAGTGAAAGCTCGCTTGAATGAATATTTATACTTTCAGTTCCGCTTGCAAGATGTACCGTAATTTATTTATGTTAGATCTATATCATAAGCAAGTTATTTTCACCTTTTGTTTTAAGCGCTAGGAAGTCGTTGGATTTCAGATTGCCTGACTCAACTGTCAAACATATACAATAGACAGTAGAACTTCTGCATATATCATTTAATAGGGAATCACAAACTGATATAAAGAAATCTTATTCCTAGGTTTTGTTGGACTTCAGTTGAGAAGTCTACAAACGTCACGAATGGGGTTTATATCACATATAATCATATATTTCCCCTTAAACAAAGGAGTTGGCAGTAAAAGACTATATTGTAAACCCTCGTGCAGCTGCGTGATCTGCAAGCTAGCCAAAATTATTGCAGCAATGTGGCCAAAAGCTCCGCTCCGCACCGCCCCACCCCACATCCACATCGAAATGTGTGGACGTGCGCTTGGTTTTTGGGTCAGCGTATTAATTAGTTTTTTTGTGGTAATTAGATAATGCGCCTATCTCACACACGAACTGCTTTGCAGACAATGCCAACAGCGAGACGCGAGCCGAGACAGGAGGCAATCACAGTCGATATAGACGATCCAGCTCAACGGCTGCCTGCATGCAAGATGCACGCTTCTATCGCAATCCCAATCGACCGGTGCACAAGATATGGACGAACAGCGAGTGTGCAAAGTATTTCCTGTGCCTCGATGGTGAGGTTTTCGAATTCAAGTGCTCCGAGGGACTGCTCTTCGATGTGGTGCGACAAATCTGTGATTTCAAAGCGAATGTGGACAATTGTGATATAAGCGCTGAGACACCAGTGCCCAAGCCGTTGCTGGAGATGGCCGACTGCGCGGACGAGTCGCAGCTGGGCTGTGCTGATGGCACTTGTCTGCCGCAGGATTACTTCTGTGATGGCTCTGTTGACTGTCCGGACGGCTCCGACGAGGGCTGGTGCGACGTTGATCATGATCCCAATGCAGCGGGCGCCTGTGACCAGCGCAGATGTCAGCTGCCCCATTGCTTCTGCTCGAAGGATGGCACACAGATACCTGGGCATCTGCAGGCGCAGACTGTGCCACAGATGATATTGCTGACTTTCGACGACGCCGTCAACCATGACAACTGGGAGCTGTTCTCCAAGGTGCTCTTCACGCCCAATCGTCGTAATCCAAATGGCTGCCCCATTCGTGGCACCTTCTTTGTCTCCCATCCGTATACGAATTATCAGTACGTGCAGAAACTATGGAACGATGGACACGAGATTGCGGTGCATTCGGTGACGTAGGTTGGATAACCTTCTCCTAAAGATTCCATTCAAACAGATTATTTGCAGGCATCGCGGGCCGGAGTTGTGGTGGTCAAAGAATGCCACCATTGAGGACTGGTTCGATGAGATGGTCGGTCAGGCGAACATCATCAACAAATTTGCGGGCGTTCGCATGGAGGATCTGCGTGGTATGCGCGTGCCCTTCCTGCGCGTTGGCTGGAATCGTCAGTTCCTCATGATGAAGGAGTTTGGTTTTGTCTACGATGCTTCCATGGTGGCACCGCACTCGAATCCACCTCTATGGCCATACACGCTGGACTTTAAGATGCCGCACAGCTGCCTGGGCGCCAATCAGAATTGTCCGACTCGCAGTTATCCCGGCATCTGGGAGCTGGTCATGAATCAGCTGGAAGCAGGTGCAGGCGAATACACTTGTGGCATGGTCGACAGCTGCCCTCCACACCTGACTGGGGATGATGTGTACCGCATGTTGACTTATAACTTTAAGCGTCACTATTTGAGCAATCGTGCGCCATATGGGCTCTACTTCCACTCCACCTGGTTTAAGAAGATTGACTATTTAAATGCCTTTCTGGTGAGATTCCCAGTCAGCTCATTAGCTCCAATGTTTATGCTAACGACATATCTTCTAGAAATTTTTGGATGACATGCACAAGCTGCCGGATGTGTATTTCGTGACTAATCAGCAGGCTATTCAGTGGATGCGCCAGCCCACGCCCAATAATCATTTGCATCAGTTCGAGCCTTGGCGCTGCCAGCCCAAACAGCTGGAGCCGCACGAGTTGGTCTGCCAAACGCCTAATGTGTGCAAAGTTCGGAGTCGGGTGCTACAGGAGGATCGCTACTTTTATACGTGCATGGAATGCCCGGCACAGTATCCTTGGATTCGCAACGAATTTGGTCTAGAATAGCCAATTGTTTAGTTTTTAAGTTTGTATTTATAGTATGTTACACAAATTTCATTATTTTATATATGTATGCAAAACGTTTTTATCAACCAAAATGTGTACTTAGCCTAGAGCAGACAGCATATTCTTTCTATCCGTTTACTGTGTAATAAAAGGATTGGCTATGCTCTCGACGCCGTCTTGTGGACAGATGAGCACCAGCGCCGTGCCCCGGCATACGACCAGGCCGAGACTTCGCGTGGAATCCTCTGTGAGTTTGTAGGGTTCGTCTGAATCTCTTAAGTACTCCACAGTATTGTCTAGTACCAGATTTAACAGCGCGTCGTAACCTTTCAGTATGCCAGACGCCTCGCGGCCTCCCGCGAATTTTACACGTATTTGTTTCTCCAGGTATTTGGACAGATCCAAAATAGACTCCTTTCTGCGCTTCTCCTTCCCATCATTGTTGCCACCTGTCTAAAAACCAATTAGCATTTAATACACGCTCCGCATGTTTATTTTATTCCGAGTTTACCTTTTTATCAGCCATTTCACCTTAATCGTTTGCCGGTTTCGTGAAATTCTAGACAAAGTTTTTTCCTTATCGATATCGATAAGCAGTAATGTGAACAAATTTTATTGATAGTTTTATTTATTTTGAATCGATAGCTTTCAGATAGTATTTATTTTAAATATTTAAATAAAAAAATATATATTATTAAATACTTATATATATGAATTTCCTAATATATATATAAATTATATATTACTACCTATGTGCTTGAGAAAACATAATATTTATTGCAAGGATCTTGCCAACCATTAAACTTAATATTTTTATTTTAAACAGAAGATTATTTACTTGATAGGGTATTTTTATTATTATTTGGATAATATTTTCAAAAGCGGAAAAAATAGTTGCAGAACACTTAAATTATTTACTAACGCTGTAATATGAATATTCAATATTTAATACTAAAAATCGATTATGATTATCAACTATCGATGAAGAATAATAACAATGATGACATTGTTAGTTTTCCATCACTACGACACACTCCATTTTGTTTTCTTACGATACCGATACCGACACGACGCTTGAAAATAGTGTTTCTTTTGTACAAAAACTTCGTAATTTATTAGTATTAAACTAAACGTCTTGTTATATTCAAGTGTCTAAAACAAAGTTGAAATAATGGGTCGTAAGAAGAAGAAGGCCTCCAAACCCTGGTGCTGGTATCCTTTTCAAACAAACCAAATGAAAAATTCTGCAGTTCTCGACTTGCCTTTACGTGTGCATTGGGAGCCTCGCTAAAAAATTTGTATCTACTCACGTACACACACATACATACATACTCATACATACCCACACTTATGCATTTATATAATGGCGAGTGCTGTTGTTGTTTTGCGGGAGTCGGCAGGGCAAATACAAATTCTTGAAAATTTAGTTTTTTCCTTAACCCATATAACTAACTAATTTAGGTATTGTAATCGCGAATTTGATGATGAGAAAATTCTGGTGCAGCATCAAAAGGCGAAACACTTCAAGTGTCATATATGCCACAAGAAGCTGTACACGGGGCCGGGCCTATCCATACATTGCATGCAGGTGCACAAGGAAACTGTGGATAAGGTGCCCAACTCGTTGCCAAACCGCTCCAACATCGAAATTGAAATCTTTGGCATGGATGGTATCCCTGCAGAGGATTTACGTGATCATGAGCGGCAGAAAAACGGCGGTAAATCCGATTCCGATGATGATGAGCCGGCTGCCAAGAAAAAAGTTGAATGTAAGCAAAGTAAATTTAAAACTACAATTGGAAATCGGAGTGAGAAGCCACATAGTGAACTTTGTTCCTCGGCACTGTTGTAGCCGAAGCCCACGATTTCAATAGGTCATGTAATTTCTATTCAACTTATATTTATTTCGGTTTTCTTGTAGATCCCATGTCTGTGCCGCCGCCTATGATGATGCCACCCAATATGATGCCACCGCATATGTTAGGCCAGTACGGGATGGGCATGATGCAGCATATGCCACCATTGCCTCCATATCCGATGCCAATGATGCCACACATGATGCCGCCGCGTCCCATATTTCCGGCGGCGATGGCAACAACCTCGGCGGCAGCTGCTGCAGCAGCCGTTCATCATCATCAGCAGCAGCAACAGCAGCAGCAGCACGCCGCTGCCATGGCTCAGCAGAAACCCACGTTTCCAGCCTATAGGTTAGCTGAATACTAACTGGAATTATTAGTAGATATCTAAATGAAATTGATTGCTTACAGTAATGCCACCATAAGTGCTCCACCTACTACCAATAATGCTGGTTTAGGTGGCGGTGCGGCGTCAAACGCTGCACCCTCACTTGCACCGGATCCACACAATCAGGGACGACCACCAAATGCGGCTAATGCAGTTGGCGGCGGCAGCCACGTTGTGGCCGCAGTTAGCACAAAGATAATGCATCCAACGGAGGATGCCAGTCTAGAAGAGTTGCGCGCCCGTCAACCCAAGTATCAGGCGCGTGTGGCTGCCGCCTTAGCAGCAATCGCTGCAGCGCCGAAAAATCACAGTCCCAGCCTCAATAACGGTGGCGGTGGCAGCGGAGGTGGAAATGGAAGCGTTGGCAGCGCTGCCTCATCAATGCCTTCAACACCGCCGCCGCCCTCACTGTCCGGCATCTCGCCAACGGGCAGCGCGGCCGCTGCAAACGCAATCGCTGTGAGCACGGCCATCTCCAAGGCACAGGAAGTGAGTTCTTATCATAGTTATAGAAACCATAGTCAATATAAATGAGAGTAGACGAAGACCAACACGCCGACGCACAGACACTGACATGGGACTTGTACAAAAGACAAACACACAGACATGCACACACGTACGCCACCTGCATACAGAAACAGTTGCAACATTATTATATATATATATACATTATTATATATAGTTCAGATAGAGATCTGCTAAGTTTTACTGAGACTGTGTCGTGTGAAACGCGTTGCGCATTTTTAAACAATTCCATTTTGATGTCCATGCAATTACACGTTGGGCAATATATAGTTTCAATTTTTGTCAATTTGTTTGTGTAATAACTTTTGGTTCAATAATTATATTTGCAATTTCGAAGAATGCGTGCACGACCACAGCAAACGGCCGACAAACGGAGCATGGAAAGAGTTGAAACAAAAAGAATATATATTACAAAGCAAAAGAAAAATATTAAAGTACGAAAAACAATTCAGATTAACATTTTAGCATATAGTATGATATATGTCTGTACAATTTTTTAATTAAACATACAAATTAATGGCAACAAAAACTGAACGGCGGCTTTCAATTTTACATTCTTCACACACAAAGTTCAATAGCGAAAATATGAAAAGAGAATCGAAATAAATACTCAAAGAAAGGCAAAGCAAAGCAGCGGCGAGCGCGCATTTCGAATTTGCAAAGATATTTACAACCGAACTGTGCGCATTTCTTGTTGTTTGTTGATTATTTTTCGCTTGGTTTTTAAAAACGAACAAAGACAAAAACAACGTCCCTTATCAAATTTATTTACAGACCGCTGCGCTGGTGGCCGTGGCGCAGGCGCATGCACAGGCTGCCCAGGTGGCGCAGGTACAAGCTGCACAGGTGCAGGCTGCGCAGCAGCATATGCAGGCTCAGGTGCAGGCGGCACAGGTGGCGCATGCCGTTGCCGCACAACAGCAACAGCAGGCACAGCAGCAGCAACAACAGGCCCAACAGCAGCATCAGGCACAGCAGCAGCAGCAGCAGCAGCAGCAGCAGCAACAACAACAACAGCAGCAGCAGCAGCAGGTGAAACAATTGGAGGAACTTAATCGTGCTGTAATGCTGCAACGTCTGCAGGCGGTACGGCAACCGGCCAATCCTGGTGCAGCTGCAGCGGCGGCTGCGGCCGCTGCCGCTGGCCTGGGCATGGTAAGTGTTAAACTTGATGCAAGTGCTGCACACAGCGTTCGCTGCCAACAACGACATCTATTTCAATCTGACTAAAATCCATGAATATATATATATATGCTGTATCTGAACAACTACTCTACTATATATATATATTTGGTTAACTCGTTCTCCTTAGCTACTAAACCCAAGCATTCAGAATGTATGGGAATATATATATATATACATTCTTCAGTCAGGCTAGCATAGCTATATTCCTCTATATCAAATAATTCCCAGTGTAGAGCTCATCATCATCAAAGCTCATTTGCAATTCATTCAACTTGAAGCGCAGGCTCTAGTTAGAAGTCATTATAATCTGAGGATTGTCTACAAGGGGAAACTGATCTATAGCTGAGAAATTTTTGTTATAAAATGTATAAAATAATAAATGTAGTATATAAATTCACAGAGAATCAAATGTGCATATCATTATCATATACATATGTCTAAGTCGTATCAGAGTATTATATGTTATATATAATATCATATCAAAATTTTTGGTTTAGCCAAATAATTTTAAAACCTTTGAAAAACAAACTCTAATACTAATATGATAACTTTAATAATTATAGATCAGTTTCCCGGCGTATACAAACAATTTTTAGGCTAGTTGAGGGCTGTAAAAACCGTTCCTAACATCAACCCAAACGATATGTTTAAATATAAATAACAGTTAGTTAGCTCTCTTACCTACACCCCACACACTTCATAAACTTAGTCCAAGTTCAACTCTAGCACAGCGACCATCTATATATAAATTTTTTATCAAAAGATTCTAATGTTGCAGTAACAAAATTAAAAGTTAACATTACAATTATTGCAGTGCAGTACAGTTGAGTGTTGATAAACATAATGCCAATTGCAGGGCCGACAAACAGTTCTATACTACAGTATGTATTTTTGTACACTTCACTTTTCATATTAAAAAAAAAAAACTACCAACAAAAATAAAAAATTAGCCCAAATGCGAATTACGAAAGATAAGTAAATGCCAAAATTTCCATTATAATATGATATGTATACAATACTCGTAATCGTACTCGTACATTACCGTACTTACTATGCAAGTATTACTCGTAGTAGTCTAAGCAAGTTCCTCAAAACAAATTACTATCCATCTTTTCCACCTCCAACAACAACAACATATGCATTCTTACATACATTAACACCCACCTATCCATCTAATAAAAAAACCCCAACTGTTTCCCATCGACCATGATATATTTATATATAGTGATAATGGTAATGCAAATGCAAAGTTCCATAGTACATATTGCCTTGCAAGCACATATTACGTTACGTTACGTTGCGTTTGCGTTACGTGACGTTAGCGTTACATTACGTTACGTAAACTTTCTATATGCGTTTTGTATTTATATATACGCAGGTGTGATAATGGAGAGTTGAAACAATACGTAATGTAAACGTAACGTCAACGTTGTCACGTCTAGTACTGCCTTGCAAGCTTATAAAACGTTACGTGAGCGTTAACGCGAACGTCTCGTTGTCTCTTACTGCATTACAAGCTTATCTTACCGTTACGTAAGCGATAACGTTAGCATTATTTCACGTACTGCCTTGCAAGCTTATGTTACCGTCACGTAAGCGCTAACGTAGACGACACGTGTTAACGTAACGCGACTTTCAGAGCTTTGAACTATATATATGTATACATAAATATTTATCTGTATATATAGTGTAAATGGCACGTACGTATACGTTAACGTAAACTTCAACGTTACGTTACGTAACGTAATGTTGAGAGTTATGAACTATGCAAGCCATGTAAGTACATTTTGTATAATTAATTCTATTAAAATTACTTTGAACTTGTCGTAATGGTTGCTGCGTTGGTTGGTTAATTGATTGATTGATTGATTGATTGGTTGGTTGATTGATTAATTCATATCCACACGAAAAAAATAAATAAATAAAATAAATACACAGCATTGAATATATTATATATTTAAATGTATATGACTATTGATATATCTCGTATACACAACACAGTCACACATACACTCACACATACATATATATCCATAGCAAATCTATCTTATCTAAATGTCTTTTTATCTGTAAATTGTACTATCGTATTCCTATCGATATGCTCATCCATCATTTACTGTTAACATCCCCGAAAATGCAACAGATTTCACTCTGCTGCTCGTGCATCCAAAAATGTCTGTCAATCTCTCTATTTTGCTATATTGCTATACATACCATGCATATTCTCTATGTGTATCATCCAAAACCTAACACATTTGGTTGTATTATCCAAAAGACTTGGATAGTCGAACTATATTAAACACATACACAAACACAAAACACCTCGAGCTGGTACCATCTGCGCTTTATTTTCAATTGTTATAATTAATTGTAATGTTCCACTTGGTTTGGTGGCGCGTTTTCTTAAGACCAGCCCTTGTTTGCTCGCCTCTTCTAATTGTCCTGTAATAGAGCTGAAAAACAGTAGAAATTTTCTAATCTTCAATTGTTAATCTATTTATTTTATATTCTTTCGGAAAAAAAACTTAAAAATATTATTAAACATTTTTATTATTCTGAATTTCTTTTTGCATAAATAGAGTACCAGTAATTAAATTTTTTGTTTACAATCCTATATATATTTTTTTTATTACATTTTGTATTTTATGTATATATATTCCTCAACTCTATTTTATTTAATTATTTTTTAATTAGGGGCATTTCCTGCTATGAAATTTGTATGACCTATCGTTAGTTTTTCAGCTCTGCTCTCTATATAAGCACTACTAACAGTATCACCTAGTTTTATGAACATATGTCACGCCTCATATGGCGACCACGCCCATCATATCATAGCTAAGTATAAAACCATGAACAAACTATACTTAATTATAATGAAACAAAAAAAGAACAAAAATCACTAAAGTATTGGAACTTGAACTCGACTTGCGTTGTCTGCCTGGTTAGTAAAAATTTACTATTTTTTTTTGTAATTCAAGATAAAACATATATAAGAATATTATTTTACTTTGTTTAAGTTGCTTTTTACCTATATATTAACAAAAATCGTCACGCGCATAGTTTTTTAAGAATTGTTATAAAAGTGTTCTTAAAGGTTGAGATCGTTAAGATCGGCCTGCCCCCCCTACATATACCACCTACTCATCCGTCGTCAGTTCAGTTTACGAATTGTAAGTACGTTTCTTTTTTAAACAATTTAATTTTCTATCATAAACAATTATCTTAATTTTTAATCATTTTTTTTTTAATTAAAAAAAAAAAAAAGATTGAAAAGAGGAAACTTGGTCTCTCTTTATTTGACTCTCTCTCTCTCTATCTATATATATATATATAAAGATATCAATATTTATATATATTTCATTGTAACATTGTAATGCGATGTAAAAGTTTCGACAACAAACACACACACACACACACAAACAACAGTACATACAACTATTTTATTCATTTAAATAATAAGTACAAAAAAAAAAAACAACTTAATATATTCTTACTACCAACAAGAAAACCAAAACAATGAAAACATAATTAATAACAATTTAGCTAATTTTGTGTACAATGGCTTCGATATATATACACACACAAACCAATACACACACACACACACACAGACACAGAGACAAGCGACATCCGCCTGCATTGGAATGCAATGAAAACTGTTTCAATTCTACCTCTCTTCCATGCTCTTCTATATATCTTTTCCATCTGGTCGACTCAATTCGCATAGATGCCTCTGCCCGGCGGCCTGCAGCTGATGCAGCCCATGCTGCGCCCTGGCACAGTGGCCATCGGACCCCATGGCCAACTGATAGGTGGCAATATGCTGCGTCCTGGTCCGATGCCTGGCATGCCAGGTGAGTACAACTTCATCATTATTTTTCATATAGATCCGTAGCTAATGTGGCATCAACTTTTGCAGGTCTGCTGCCCATGCAGGCTATTGGTTTGCCTGGATTGCCCGCGGGTGCCATGCCGATGCCGGGCATGAGCGTGATGCTGCCTGGCCATCCGAATATGCTGCAGATGATGCAGCCACGCTTCAGATGATGCCTGCCCGCTGCGCCCGGACTCTTGCAGGCGCCAACACAGACGCATCCGCACAGTGTGCGAGCGTTTCCACGAGCAGCGGCATTGCCGGCGCTGCATCCCGCGCAGGCGCAGTCATCCCAGTTGGTGGGTTTGCCGTTACCCTTGTTGTTTCACGAGTAAAAAATGGGATGTGGCCAATCAGCCTACTAACAACAACAGCTACAGCTACAGCAACAGCAACGACAAAAGACTGCGACAACAACAACAACAACAACAGCAACAACTAGTGCAAAATGCAATCACAACAACTGCAAGCAAGTTTTCATACTAAAGCTACGCAATTCCACAAAGCTATTTTTCTTAAATGTATAACAGTTTTGAGACACTCGATACATACGTACACACACACACACACCCACACACATACACATACATATGTGTCACACATGCATACACTGGCCGCACACATACTAACAGCAATATGCGTAGCTTTATAATATCTATACATATATATATATTCAGAGTATTTTCTAGTTGATGCATCTAACTTTGCTTTCCGTTCGATTTCCAAATTTCACGTTTAACTTTTCTCCAACTAAATTCGAGTGTACTTGCAAAACACACAGACACACACACACATACATATATATGTATACGACAGCATATTAAATTTACTAACACTACTCTGTATATGTGTGCTAAATGAATCGCAGCTCGCTTCTCATCTGGCGTTCTTAATCTCTCTCTCTCTCTGTTGCTCTTTGTGCTGGCACGCGGTTCTCTTTGCTATATTGTTTCTGTAGCGTCTAGTTCACACTCTATCTCTCTACATACAAATACATATATGGTATAACACTCTCCCTAGCTTTATAATTGTTAGTGTATTTGTACAATACGAGCAAATTTCATAATACTTAACATACTAATATAATATTTTAAATAATAGTTTTTGTTGACATTCTTTTTTCATAATTTTATAAATATTTATTTATATTTTCTTTCATTACAATTGTTTTGTGGCAAAAAACAAGATAAAATACGCCCCATTGTTAAGCTCACTCACTCACACAAACTATCTCTCTCTCTCTCTCTCGTTTTTGCCATGTTTATTCTCAGATAGAAACGATACAGTACGCTCCCCTCTCCCCCGGGTAAGAATCGGGCGATTTATTTAAAATACATACACATACACATATATGCATATATCGTAATATTGTGCGAATTTGTATTATCTGTGCGTAGCTTTTTAGTTAATTGTCCAAGTGTGCAATGCTCCACAAACTGTTATACATACTGTTATACAATATGAATATGTGTAGCCTCTGTTAACTGCATTTATATACTTCTTATCCCCCATTTTCCCCCGCCTTTCAACACAAAAAAAAAAAGCAAAAAAAAAAAAAAAAAGCAATAATGATATCAGTCGTCTTTCATCCACTCTTTATTCGTTACCCGTTACCCGTTACTCGTTACTCGTTACTTACAGCTGACAAAGAAGTGCACTCGTAAGTTATGTACAAAATGAATTTTTGATTTTCGATTTCCGCTTCAATTTCGGTCGGCAACAATGCGATCCCACAATTCAGGTATCTACATTCATTTTTTCTTTCTCAATTACATCATTTATATGTAACAATATTTCTTGGTTATGGTATCGTACTAATATGCAAACAATCCTCTATCAAAACTGTAGTTATAAAGTAATTCTCCCCAAAGCGTTTCCGCACATTGTTAGTAAGTACATTCATTTATAGTTCGTTTCAATATATATCTAGCAATCCATAGTTAGTTCCTTTGTTAACGTAGCGCTCTTCCATTGGTTCACGGACTTCAAAAACTCTAGCTTCCTAGCAAACTAAAAACAAGTTTTTAACAACAATCAACAAGCTGAGGCTTTATCAATGGACCCCAACATGGTCCATGTACAACTATTACTAAATCAAATGTTTTATACCTCCTAAGTTGGTCACTCAAACTCTTTTCTTTTTGTATTTGTAGCTTGCAATTGCAGGGTATATCTATAATAATAGAGTTCTGGCATGATTTTCAGAAACGGTCTCAATCGGAATACTCGCCCAGTGTAGGCTAGTCAAATTTTTTACCACAAACCCCTCAACCTACCCCCTAACAAATAGCCCGTATGTACACTAACTTGTATTTGTAAATCATATATCTATTCACATACAGGCAAACAAATCTATGTTATGTGTAACGGTAACTACTTATATATACTATATATGTAGCATAAAACGTAAGACAAGTGAAAAATCCTCCAGAGTTCTGATGGCAATTTGTGCCGCGTAGTCTCTGGTTGGGTTTAGCGCAAAATTGATGTTGGACTCTCGGGTCTGGCATATTCGCCGCATTGCCTTTTTGCAATGCCACGCCCACCGCCCAAAACTGTATCTCTGTTATCGCTAGGTGGGGCCGTTGGCATTAATGCGATGTTAGAACGGCGTGCTTCAGACGAGTGTACCTCAATGCGGGACAGACAGGCATAAAACAATTTGGTGGCTCTCTAAATACACACAAACACACACACACACACACTCACACGCACATACTACTTAACTGCTAGTTAAATATTTGACAAGAACTATCGTATATCTCAACTGTAAATATCTTTCCTGAGCGCGTTTTATAATTGTTATATTTGTTTTTCTTTTTCATCGTTGTCTTTTTTATTAGTAAATGTAGTTTGTTGATTTTTCATTAAGCGCCCAAGTATTCCTCTCCCATTTTGAGCTATTGGTGACGGTCAGCTGAACTGATAGTCTTGCAGTTTGTGAGGGGAGCTTAGTATAGATTTTCAGATATATCGTGTTCCGACTTATATGAGATTTTCTTGGAAACAAATTCGTTATATTAATGAAACTGTAAAATTTCTTACGATGAAGTATTTTCCTAAATTCGAGAATAAGAAATAACTAAGCTTGCATAATTTAAGCTGCCATAGAGACAATCCATTGTAAAGGTTTACAGATAGGCTATACATATGTATATATAATTAGTGTAGAGCGAATTAACTTAATCTCTGCTTGAACATCTGCAATTCTATTTGAAACTTCGGCTAGCCGTTGTTCACTCTTCATTTACTTTATATCTCTTTGATCTATAACTATACATATATAACTCTGTATCATATACAATAACTGTAAGTGTAAGCTGCACGCGTTGTTTAAAGTACAAAACAAAATCGAACTCGTTTTCTCATAGGTGTTTTTTATATATACTATATGAATATATATGTGAAGCCACCAAAATTGTCTGTCCTTAGCGCTGGGCGACACGCGAGTAGCTGAAATAAGGCGCAGATTTACACACCGTCTACTCTATATACCCTACTAAATATTTTGTTTAACATCTGTCTGCGCAGCTCAGTCGAAAACGTGTCACATCAATTTTGCTGAGCGAAAAGTTCCCTGCGTCCGAAACTTAAGGATATCGTAGGATATCTCGAGTGTGTGTGTTTTTTGTAGCATGTCCCTTAATCCTTACACACACACACACCCATAGATCCCCATGACGCAGGTGATGTGCTGTCCCGCCCTCTTTGTTGACTCTGCCCCCAGCCCAGTTATCATCGGCACATCACAGTTGCCTAAAAGTCAACTGTTGGACTTTTCGGTCCTTGTCTTGCTCTAGGTTCTAATACTATTGAATAACTATATAAACACACACCCCACACACAAATACACGTACATCAACTCACTCTATCATAGAAGCACGCATAACGGGAGGCGTTCACGATGACTACCACGCCCACTTTCATGCGAGGGCACAAAACAAAACAGTTTTGTGTTTCGTTTTCTTAGTGTTAATTGTGATTATTGAATAATGTTATTTTTTTTGTTGGATGCCCTCTCTCCTTCTCAAATTAAGTTTTAGTCGATAGCAAATTTCGATAAATATCGGTCAATAATAAAAAAAAATATATATATACATAAATGCTTTAATAGTCAAACGGTGCGGCGTTCAACAATCAAAAAGTCTAGTTAAAACCTTTGCCAAAGATGATTTTTGTTCGCCAATCTCAAGGTATCCTATAAAAAAATCTATATATATATCATCTATATAATAATTCTTAAATAATATGTTTCACAAGCTTTGAGCCTTTAATTTTATTTTTCTTTTGCATTGCATTTAACTAAAGTCTAAAAAATATGTTTGTATTGTTTTTGGCTCTTATTCTTTCTATTTTGCCAATTACAATCGATAAACAATTAATTACACAAAATACTTAGCTAATGCAAATTAATACTTAGTGCAAATGCATAAAATCAAAACTATACAAAAATGCGTATGTTAAAAGTTTTTAATGTTGTAAATGAGTAAAGAAAAAAAAAAATAAATAACAAAAAACAATTTTAGTGTTTGTACAAGAAATGTTTCTACCAAAAAAAAAAAAAACAAAAGGAAAAGTAAATTAAAATGAACATACACAACATACTCTAAGCATAACAACAAACAAACAAAGTTATATAAGCAATAGTTTAAAACACTTTTAAACAAAAAGAAAAAAAAAAAAAAAAAAACAAGAAAACAAAAAATTATATATATTGCATACTGATATATTTCTAGTTTAATGTTTTGATTGTTCTCTTCTTTTTAAATTTAAATTAATTTATTGAATTTTAATAAATAAAATATACTATAATATATATTAATATTTAAATGTGTGTTTTTTTATGCATTTATTTGATTGGGGCGATTTTTGTAGATCTAGACTTTTTATATAAAAAAGTAAACTTCAGTTCATCAATTTAGAGACTTCTAAATTATTATAAAAATCGATAAAAAGAGTTTGATATTAATGGTAAGTACGCCGACTATAATGATAATTATAGCCGACTAATAATCATCAATTCATTTCCCATGCAATCGAGCATATTTGTTCCTAGACTAGCTCAGCTAACCGCAATAACTCTCAGTATGACAAGTCAAAGAACCAGTTTTAAGAAAAACCCAAAAACCGTCTTGACTCACGGGCAATTCCCGATGGAATGGAAAGTTGCGTTGATCATTATTATGTGATAGAGATATATCAGTCATTTATATAGGCCTATGTGTGGGATTTATTTCAGGGGCTTGTCTGCCAAAAATCAACCGTAATCAGCTGAGCCATGTGGGCTGGCTAATAGAAATTGTTTGAGCTGTTAATTTGCCTGAGGTATTGAGTGAGGGAAGGCCTAGGTCTGCATTGATGGTCCGTCTGACTAATTCAAGTTCACTGGAATTCCAAAGACGACGCGCTCAGGCAGCTTCAATCACAGCTTCAGCATTAGTCGGCTTCAATCGTGGATGTTGGTCTCGTTTGGCTTTCAGTTTCGTTGCGAGCTTCGTGGCTGTCGGTTGTGTTTCTGGTTGTGCGCGGTAAATTTAAAGGTGTGTGTGTGTGTGTGTGTGTGCGTGCATAAATTACTGCATTAGTTCAAACAGCTAAACTAGTTAAATAACACTTGGCTTACTTTCGGCATCGGCAACAAAAAAATAAAAAAATAGCCAACTAAACAAAAGACTTAAGACACAAACTTGGCTGGCGAATGTGCGACAAAAGGGGCTTGCATAACTTTGCCACGCCCCCCTGCTTAAGCCTTTACTTTCAATTAT